AAAGGATGGACAGTGAATGACTCCCCTGAAGAACGGTGGTCCTGGGGGTATGGCATTTTTAAAGTTGAATTGGGTAAGAGAGATTATCCAGGGGAGAAACAGGTAGCAAGATGAGTTGGGAGGACAGGGTAATGACCCACAGAGAATGCAGTAAGAGCCTTAGACCAAGAAAGAGTCCCTGTTTCTGCCTGGTTCAGCCAAGAAATATTTAACACCTTGTCTGGCTTTATTTACTTAAGTAGTCTCTGGGATAGTAAACAGAGTGGAAAAAGGTGGTGTTTAGGCTAGAGGGCTGATATGGGAAAGAGCTGAGTCTTCACTACTTAACAGATGGGGGAGATTAAACAAGAGAGTGTTGGCAAATAGAGAAATGTCACAAAAGGAGTCTGCAATAACAGCCTCAAGCCATTGGTATCTCTTTTCTTGTCTTTTCCTTCTGTACAGTCTGCATATAACCACCCACTCCTTGCAATTTCTGGACATTTAATAAAATAATGTATGTGAAAGCAGTTTGCATAGAGCTGGGCACATAGCAGGTGCTCAACAAATATTAGTCTGAATCTGAGTCTGAATCGAGATAGACATTTCAGCTTCCCAATCTGTATTTCTGTCAGGTCTATAAAACGAACTTCAGCTATAATAGATTCAGTACTTTGAGGGTATTACTGCAGCTCCAGAGAAAGGAGACCACTAATGAGGAGAAACCGTGGCAAGAGGAAGAGGATGAAAGAGTAACACATATTTTCATTCCTATAGGAAATAATTGCCTAGAAATAGCATAAACTTTCCCAAGTTGAAAAAGAATACTGTACTTTAAATTCCCTCTAAAGCACATGATCTAGTGACCGCATTTTCACTTGAGTTGAATCGTGTGGCACAGTAAATACAATTACAACCAAAGTCAATATACTTTTTCTGTCACACATTTCCTTTCATCAATGGGTTTCAAAGGGTTGGTGTCAGTATGGGGTTGAAATGCTCCTACCCAAAGCATCTAAGTTATGGGAACATGAAAAAGTTCTTCTTCCATGTTAATTTTTTTAAATGGGAACAGTGTGATATAGTAGAAAGAGAACTAATCTAAAAATCAAGGATTCTGATACTAACCCTGCCAGGTATTGTAGACTTTGGGCAAGTTAATTTCCTTCTCTGGAGCTAAGATTCTCCCTCTAAAAAAGGAGGGCATTCAGTGAGATCAGTGGTTTCCAAATCTCCCTGAATATTAGAAGCGCCTGGGGGAACTTTTAGAGACACAGATTCCTGGGTTTCCAACCTGTTACCTAGAATATCCAGGGATGGAGCCAACATCAAGTCCTTAATGAAAAGCCACAACAACTTAGTAACATACATCCACAAGTATTTAGGTCAGAAGTCTGTGGACTTACAGACATCCACTCACCTTGCCTGGGCCAGATAGCTCTGCTGGTCTTGGTTGGCTCAGCCACATCTAGGGATCAGCTGGAAGTTGTCTGATGAGAGCCAGGTTCTGCTGAAGTAGCTCAGCTTGAATACACATGTATCTTATTCTACTGCAGGCACCAACATGCTAGATTGGGCACATCTTCTCATGGCAACAGCAGAGGTGCAAAAGAGCCAGCTTTAATTCACGAGCTCATTGCATGCCTCTACAACATCATGTCTGTTAATATCCAGTTGGCCAAAACAATGCCTAGGCTAATATTAGAGGGAGGAAGTGTGTTCTTCCCAAGAAAGTTAGTGGAAAGGAGTGAATATTTTTGAAGAATAATCCAATCTACCACAGGATGCCAAAAAAAAAAAAATTCATTTTTTTTTCATCCCTGGTGACTTGGATACACAGCCAGGAATAAATTATCTAAGGTATTTTTGAATTCCAACATTCTAAGATGCTTTAAATTGATATAGAGGCACTGAAATCAGGTGGAGGAGAAGATAATCTGGGTGAAATTAATACTTATCACCATCGACCAAAAGCCTTCATTGATGGTACAGAAGATGAGGGGCCAGTGAGTTGAGAAAAACATGAAAAAGACTGATCTTCCTTCCATAAGCATCTGTTTTCTTTCAAGGACTTAATCTGAGCTTCCTCATTTTGTCCGTGGCAAAACCCCTGGTATTGAGAGGTTACTATTTTCATCTTTTCTTCTTCTTCTTTTAGTTGAAGGACGTGGCACAGAAAGCCAAAACCTCCTGCTTAAGGCACACAGCTCACACAGGGCAGCACTGGGATGCTAATCTGCTTTGGTTCCAGTCTCTGCTCCCTTCACTGAACCTACAACAGGGGGTTCTGACTAGGGCCTAAGCCAATGTGCAGAGGTTAGCTGTTCAAATCCAAACCCTGGGAGACTGACACTGCCTGGAAACCCTGAAATCTCTGTGCTTCCCATCGAAGGGTTTGCATCTTTGCATCTCTTGTGGCACTTACTTAGTTTTATAACACAGTCACCTACCACCTGAGAGTGTCTGGGCAAATTGTGTATCTCTCTGTGCCTCAGTTTTCTCTTCTATAAAGTAGGCATAATAGGAACTGCCTCACAGGGTTGCTCTAAGAAGTAAATGAGTCAATATTCCTGCCACTATATATTGTGTAGATGTACAAAGTCTGGCACATGGTACTTGCTAGTTAGGTATTTGTTAAATAAATAATGGCCTCTTTTGTGCACAGGTCTTGTGTATAGGATATACAGCAGTGGTTCTCAAAGTATGTTCCACAGACCTCATCCCACATCTAGTATACTAGAAACTCTGGGGCTGGGCCCAAGCAATCAGTATTTGAACAAGTCCTCCAGGTGTTTCTCAGGTCTGCTAAAGTATGTCAAGAATCTTTCTGTCCTCTGGCTTTTATTCCATATATCAATAAATAAATGTCAAATAAATTAATGGTGTTTGACAATTATTGAATCTTCCAATCTATTAGGAATACTCCAGGCACTTTTAATCCTCTCAGTCACCATCAGAGGCAGTTGCTATTATTATTCCCAGATGAGGAAACTGAGGAACAGGGTAACAGCCAGTAAATTGGCAGATCTGGGATTTGAACCCTTCCATCTAATGCCAGAACCCATGTGCTTCAACCTCACATGACAGGGCTGAACAAAGGCTATTGAATAAATCAGGAACAGCTCTTACCCACAAAGCTCTGACTCTGAATACAAACCCAACAACCATGACCACCCACCTGCCACAGGGAAGTTGAGAAGAGTAGACAGCAGTTGTTCTTCTCCAGGATCAGAGATCCCTGTAGTGTCTCCTGTATGCTGGGGCCACAGTCTTTGCCTTGCTGGTCACTATTCGTCACCTGACAAACCTCCCCAATTGTGCTTGACCCTTCCCTCTGTGGCTGTCTCCCTAGACTCAGTGTCTCTGTGTTTAGACCTCTGATATTCTGGATTCTTCCAGGCTTTATTTCTTTGGTTTCTAACTAGACCTGAGTTTTCTACCAGGCTCGTTCCACATGTCTGATCTCTTGTCTGGCCAGCATTGTGCATGCCTGGATGAGTGCAGAGAAATTGTTTCCTGACTCCTGAGAAGCACAGCACACTCCTAAACATATTAAGAGTTTTGTAAGAGACAGCTCATTTGGCTAATTTTTAAACTGCATTATCAACTCTATTTGTGCCTGCTTCTTAATACACAGGAAATGAAATCTCCTGGCTCATAGCAAAGAGGCCATCTCTAAAGGGCAGCTGTTGAATCCCTGAATGTGTATTTCTTCAGGAACAGTTTTGTGAGACTAACCTTCTCCCTCCACTCACTGCCATTTGCTCCGGAGCCATCTCAGCCTTCCCCTGGATTCTGAGGGCGCTGATCACAGCCACAACACACATGGTTGCCTGTAAAGCGCTCTCACCCAATCCAGGAGTCGGGTGGCGAGCCACCAATGAAGCTTTAATCTCACCTGGGATAGAGGCCAGCTACGCTCGCAAAAGAATCAGAAAAGAAAGGAGTTGGGCTTAAAAGAGGCACCACCTGCCCTCCCTGGCCCTCAGAAATAGGCCTCAGACCAAGTGGGGAAGACAGACAGAGAATGCCTGTGCACATATGCTGTCAAGAAGGGCTCACGGATGCTGAGGAAAGCCCAGAGGAGAGAGCAGCTGCTTTTGTTTCCTTGGAGGCAGAGCCCAGTAGGGAGTGGGTGAGACAGGAGCCAGGAAGACAATTACTAGAAAGGCATTCCCTGGTGTTCTAATGAGGCAATTAGAGTCACCGAGTTTGAGACTGTAAGAGTAGGATGGGGCTCTGAAGACCCCCCTCGCCCAACCCCCTCATTTTACAGAAGAGGCAACTGAGGCCCAGAGGGGGAGAGCCCAGAGAGACAATGCCAATTAGGGCTGGGACTAGAACCCAGATCTCCAGTCACCACAGTGCTCTGCCTCTGCTAGAATCAAAACCCACCCGACAGAGGGCTTGCACTTGAGGTCAGTTGAAGAGGAAAAATAGACCGGGGGGGGGGGGGGGGACTGTGTTTTTACTCCGAGCAGCTTGGGTGGGAATTTCTTTCAGGAGGCACAGTCCACGTTCAGGAGGATGCCAGCAGCTGAAACAGAAATCTGGGGTGGCAGTGGGGAGGGACAGAGGAGGGGATAGCAGGGTTGGGGAGTGGCTGTCTCAGCCACCAGGAGGCTGTGACTTTCACCTGCCTGTGTAATGTACAGTGTCATATTTCTGCCACCTTATGCAAAGATGTTATTTGTCTCTGCATTTCTATGGAGCCCATCTCCAGCATTCTCAGGGGATCCCAGGAGGAGAAGAGCCCCAAGATGCCTGGAGTCTAGAATTGCGAACGACCTCCCAGGCTCAGAGGCCACCGAGCCTCACAGGGTTTCCTTAGTTCTTAACAAGTCCAATAAATCTGCTAACAAAGAGTGGAAGAAAGGACCTGAGGAATGCGCCCTGCCTCTGACCCCTCCTTGCAGGCCAGTGTCCAGAGTCATGCCGCCTCCGCATGCTCCCCGCTCCTCCGCCACCCCCCGCCCTCCCTGCGCGCTTGTCTGCCTGAATTGCCTCTTTGTGTGCCCGTCTCCTGGAGCAGGCTCGGCAATTTGCATCTTTGCTGTTCTCCTTTTAAAAATGACAGAAAAACACTCCGCAGAGTGGAGCTTGCCCAAGCGGAGCTTCTGCCGACAAAAACAGGGGCACAGAAGTCAGCTTGACATTCTGCCAAGTGCGGCCCCTCCTGTCTCCTCCTCTACACCAAGAAGTAGACTTTAATCAATAAGTTTCTGAGAGGGGGCAGTGAGGAAGGGATTGAAGGAGAAAAAGCACAGATCTTCTCACCGTGCACAATTTAGAAAACATGTCTATGCACAAATTCTTGTGCAGGAGTCATGGAGATCAATGGTAAGCCCTTTGTAGTGGGTTTTCTTTCATTCTCTTTCTAGCCTTTAAAGGATGAAGGAAGAAGAGAACTATATTTCTTATGAATCATGTGCTCTATCATAATTAATTCTTCAACAGACCAATGCTCTTATTGTTATAGATGGAGCTGCTGTGAATCAGAGAGGTGAACTATTTCATCCAAGGACACATCTTACGTACTGAAGATTCAACACCCATGTGTTTTTCCATATATCTGTTGCCTCTCTGGCTTTTTAAAGCTACTGTATTTAGAAATAGCTAGCAAATATGGGCATTCAAAATCCTACCTTTCCTTCCAATTAAAAAGATATGCCAAAAGGATCTCTTCTATTCATCTTTTTCACAGAACACACCCTTTAGTGCTTTCTGCTGTCAGTTACATAGCTCACTCTCCATTCACAGACAGAATAGAGGAATTCACCGGAAAGGAGAACCACTTCACAGCAACGTTTTACAAGAAGCCTGATGGTGGGATGGAGCCCCTCATTCATATTAATGAGACATGCATGGAAGTGGTGATGAGCATGTGGAGTGTGGCTAAAAGAAATGTGGTTCTTCACTTGGAGCTGATGTGAAACACAGGCAATCTGTTGGCCTGTGAGTCCACTTGATATATTTTTAAGAGTGGCAGTTTCTTCTTCAGGGTTTTCAAGCACCAAGAAAATAATCTCACATAATATAAAACAGATAATCCAAGCTTCAGTAGGATTCAAGTGGAATCAGGCTCCAACCTTCTGTTTCTAAGTGGCGGTAAGCTCCACCACCTGGTCCACCAACAGCTGAACTTGGTCTTCATTCACCTTCTGTGAAGTGCATCCACATTTGTACTTGGGAGCAAGAATCCAGGGCATTATGGTGGCTGGGACCTCCATGTGCTGAAAGAGTGAAATGGCCAACCACCAGAGAGTCAGGACTGGGTTGGCCATTTCACTTCTTTAGCACATGGAGGTCCCAGTGCTGCAATGGGGTATACCATTGGGGTATCACCTGACTTGCTTTTCAAGGTCTGTAGGAGATGGTGGAAGGTTCCAAGCAAATCATCACAGCTACCTTCTCAATTGTTGATCCTGTTGAGTGAAATGTAACAGTGCATAACTAGGCCAGGGCAAACTCTGATAGAACTTGGCACTTTCACATGCAAAATATTTTATATTCAAGTTAATTGACATGGGTCAGAGAAGCAGACCTCCCACTTCCATATCACAGGGTTAAGCTTCCATTTCCAGGCAATGCTCTTGAGATAAGTTTTCTTCTCATGTAGGTGGCTGCCCAGGAGGATGCCCAAAGCTTAAAGGGAAGCAACTGTCAGGCTATAATCTCAGAGCCCTGGATGGAGGGAGTATAACTTGGAAAACATGTATTTCAAAACTTCCTTTGTTTTGCAAAGAGTGGGGGCTATTTTTAAGAGATTTTTACAAGTTTGACAGCAAGTGCCAACCTGCTTTAAAGTTCTGGTATCAATGGGGACCATCACATTGGAAAGAGGGCATTCTACCTCCCTGTATGGACTGAAGCTCCCCTACCCTACCCTAAGAAGAGCCTTTTGGCTAATGTATGGAGATAACAGGCTAGGCATAGACACTGGATTTTCATGAATTCCTAGCATAGTGCCTGCATATATTAGTACTCAACTAATGTTTGTTGTAAGAATGAATGGTTAGGATTCTCAGCAATGGCAGCTGGGAGCTTTTGTCTCAGGAAGAAGCAAGTAAGTCTGAAAGTGGAGAAAAAGAAAGTGCATAGAGCATAATGAATGCAACTGACAGGCCAGAGAGGAGACCTTTGGGAAGCATTCCTTTTTGGGTCTCAAGAAACAACTATGGGCAATCTGTGTGTACTGGGGAAAGTTGTTCAAGAATTGAAGACTGTGGCCAGGTGAAATACACACACACTCACATACACACACATGCACACATACACGCACACATCTTTTTCAAGCTTTAAAGAGTAATTGTTCCTTAGTCCTATCTTTACAAGTTAAATAAGTAAATAAATAAGTATAAGCTCAACCTTACCCAAAATATAATAGATTTTAAATCCATGAGGATAGCCATTTTCTTTAGGAATACTAAGGTACACGATATCAAATTACTAAAACCTATTAAATTTTTTCAAATTATGTCTAGCACCAAAGTGTCAACAACAAATTGAGAATAAAGGTTCTAAAGCATCAAACTTGAAAGTAAATGATAATAATTTTTTAAAAAAGAAGGTGAAAGCAAAAAGTAAGCTTTCAGTCACTCTGTAAATTATTTTCTTTCATTTCTAGACTGAGAGGAACTTCTTTTAAAAGCCAAGAACAAGAATACCACCCGAAGACATCTGTTCCTCTCATCCTTTAGTGAAGTGCAGATGGAGATTCCTACGTGGTTTTGGTAAGAGGAATTGGTCATGCTTATTAGCCTGGGCAGATTTAGGTTTCAAATAATAAGCTAAATTGAGAACTACCAAGAGACCAACATTTGCAAAGCTGCACTGTAGCCTGAAGAGGGACATGCCAATTTTAGATTAATTAAAAAGGTTATTAAATTGTTCAGATGGCACGTTAATGAGCAATCTGCAGGGTGCTCAGTCAACAACCACGCCTCCCAACCTTAATTACAGGACCCTTATTGAAAAGGATCTGGGCAAGCCCACAAAGGAGCTAGAAGAACATCCATCTTGAATATAATATGAATATGGTCAACCCAGGACAAATCCCATGAAGAAAGATGGTATATTAAGCTTATAATATAAATTCTTTCAGAAGGAAGGTAATGCTGATTCTATTAAGCTTATAATATAAATTCTTTCAGGAGAAAGGTAATGCTGATTCTAGCCAGCTACAAGGCACCGAGATATTAGAATTAGAGATACAACAGATAATGTGCCTTTATATTTTGGACCCAATAGGTTCAAGTGCCTTGGAATATTTTACCAACCCATATTTTTCCCAAGGCCTGCTGATAAAATTAGAAGGCTTAAGTTATTGTTTCTGTTACATAAGGTTTACATAAATTTATAAATCAAGACATTTTAATATCTACCACCGACTTCAGCATTCAAATGTCGGAAAAAAGATACTGCCTCTGCCCGGATGAGTAATTTTCAAAGTGTGGGCTACATGGGGCCATGTAATGAACCTCGGACTGATCTATAATTGCAACTCCCTGCTTTGGTTCTTTTGGGTGAATTATCCATAAATCCGTAGGCTTAAGTTTATATAAACAGCCAAGGTTTACTTTCTAGTAAATTCCTAAACCAATTGTTAATGGTTACTAAAATTTGGCATTCATGAACTAAAACTAAGCAGCTCCTAGAACTTATTGAGAAATATAATTCAATATTCTTCTATGAAGTCTACCTCAGTGCTTGGCAGGGATGAAAAACTTCTATTGCATATGAGCACTTGCAGATCACTGGAAATCCCACAAAATTCTGGATGGGTGATTTATTTTCATCATATCAGAAATTTTCTTGAGTTGGTCATGATTTGAATAGTTACTATTATTCCTTTTGAATTTAAAATTACTATTAGTTTATTTTTACCTTTATCAAGGTAGTTTGTTGTGAGTTGTTTGGTTCTTCTTATACACTGACACGTCTTTATCATGATGCTGTGCTGTGGGCTTTTTTGACCTTTGATACTTCAATAAATTCCCCCAAACTAGTGTTGCAAGGTCTAGAAAATAATCAGTTAAATAGGAAGTTATCTAGACAACAAATAATTTTTAATTTTAATGTATGTTTCAAATATTACATGAATAATACTAAAAAATTATTTGTTCATTTGAATTAATATTTAATTGGGTGTCCTGAATTCTACCTGGCAACTATATTTCAAGCAATGTTGTATTTTATTGAGAAAAGTGAAAAAAAAATGGTGATACAGAGTTTGTCTTAATTGCCAAATCAGATAGGTATTGGCTGTCAGAAACACTCTGAGACTGTCAAGTCTGGTTCAGTCAGGGAAAAAAAAATGACCATGATTGATTAGTGATGTCTGCCACGGACAAGACCCAAAGACTTACTGACTCAGGTGTTGAATTTTTGCTATCTCTGCCTTAGTGGCTAAAGTAGAACTATCTTGCAAAATCCTACTAGAAGCTATCTATTGATTGTGTCACTCTTTTGCTCAAAACCTTAAAATCCTTTAATACCTTCCATTGCTCTTAGGATAAAGACCAAAGAGGGTTCTTAATGTGGTTTTCAGAGTGCTAGCTCCTGCCAACTGTTTTAGCATAGTCTTTTGCCATGTTCCCTGTCACTTTCTGTGTTCCAGCCTCCCTGGCCTTGGTAAGTGTCTTCCATTGCCTGGAAATCTCTTCGTCTTCTTATTTATTCAAGTATCTTCTGCTCATTCTTTAAATCCCAGCTCCTCAGGTAAGCTTTCTAACACACAGAAAAAGTCAAGAATCATTGAACATAGACTCATTGCAACTATCTTAGTTTGTGATAATTTTTTCATGTCAATATTTGATTAATGTATTTTTCCATGACTAAATCATAAAATTCTTAAGGGAGCAGCCATCTTGGTTTTATTCACCATTTTATCCCCAGAATCTAGCACAATGTTTTCTGTATACTATGTTTCAATTATATATCTGTTGAATGAATTAATTCATTTAAATAATCCCAAAATGAATGCATGTTTTGGCCTAATGAGTTCAATATTATGAAAAAATCTTAGTGGTCCATTTAAAAGGAAATTAACACTTTTTTTTTCAGGCTATAATTACAAACTTATTTAGAGCTCTCCAAATGTAATAAATAAAATGAGCATTATCTCTCTCAATACTAATCAGAGTAACCCTTTTATTTATACACTTGTCATCAGTACCTTTAAGTGTTTCCTTCAGAAAAATGCTTTGGTGGAGAGTTTAATACAGTAGGGAGGAAGTTTTTAGGTATGCATAATATTTCCTTTTTTGTCATTAAATATTAAATATTTTGTTGGAATGCATTCTGAGTATCATCCTTGGTAAAAATTTCATTCAACTCACCCATCTGCAATGACTTCGATGTGTTAACTTGGCTAGGCTATAGCCCTCAGTTACTCAATCAAATGATAATCCAGGTGTTTCTGTGATGACATTTTGCAGATGTAATTCAGTCCACAACCAGTTGAATTTGCTAAGTCTAAAAAAAATTCAGGATTTATATTTGAATATTATGGGTAGGACTGATTCAATCAGTGGGAAGACTTAAAAAGCAGGGCTGAAGCTTGTCCCAAAAAGAGAAGACAGCCTGTCTGTGGATAAAAGCTTTGGCCCATACCTGTGAGTTTCAGCTTCACAGATTTCAGATTGCTTAGCCAGCCCCCACATTCATGTAAGCCAATTCCTTAAAATAAATCTCTTAATATATATATGAGGAGATTTATTAAATACATATAAGGTGTATATATATATGTGTGTGTGTGTATACACACACACACACACACACACACACACACACACTGGTTCTGCTACTCTGGTTGAGCCCTGATGACCCACACCATCCAGTGGTACTCATAAATGGTTTGTCAAGAATATGAAAAAAAAATACTTCATTCGATAATATGGAGCTCACAGCAATGCTGATTGCAGAGCTTTTGTAATCCAGGCTCCCCTTGCCTCACCCCCCTCCAAACCACCTACAAGTGCAAGAAAATCCAAGGTATGACTTTTAAAGTAGACCAACACAAACTTATTTTAAAAATATTATAGGAATAACAATATGGGAAAAAATATAGCTGCTGGTTCTAGAACTCATTTCCAGAAAACCCTTATCTTTGTTGGGAAGAGACTTTGATGAGCAGCCTTAGAGTATATATGAGTTCTGAATGTTGATAGAACTTTTCTTTATGAGGGAAAGGGAAATACTCAGTGGTACTGGAGATGTAACAGAGGGCAACAAGTGGCAGAGGGTGGTAACAAGAAGGCAGATATTCACATTTTGCTATGATCTGAATGTTCATGTGACCCAAAATTTGTATTTGGAAATCCTAACGCCCAAGGTGATGGGATTAGGAGATGGGGCTTCTGTAGGTGATTAGATCATGGAGGTGGAACCCTCATGAATGAGATTAGTACCCTTATCAAAGAAGTTCCAGAGAGCCACCACCTGAGGACGCAGCAAGGAGGCTCCATCTGTGAACCAGGAAAGGGGCCTCTAGCAGATGTTAAATTTATTGGTGTCTTGTTCTTGGACTTCCCAGTCTCCATAACTGTGAGAAATACATTTTTGTTGTTTATAAGCCACCCAGATTATGGCATTTTGTTATAGTTTTCTGAACAGATTAAGACACATCCCCTATGACTGAACCTTTTATTTATTCCCTATCCCATTCCCTGACTCTCTGATAAAGTTACTAAACTCAATTATAAGTAGACTTTTTGAGAAGCCAAGGAAGAAATTGGGCTGCATGCAGTTTGGAATGGCAGCATGAGTGGCTGTGGGAGTGGGTAGGGGGAAGAAGAAAGAGTTCTTCTTTCTTTCTTGCAGAAAGAACTAAGCCCACCCCTTTGATTCCCCTCTCCTCCCCTTCTTCCACCATCACCCCCAGCAAGATGGGGAAGGATATAAATGCACACTGAGCTGTGGAACTGCAGTCCTTAGGAAGCTTATTCAGATCCCCTCTGTGGGATTGGTTAACCTCTAATTACCTAAGTATGATGTCATTGTTTCCTTCTATGCCATACTTAGGCATTTCCAGGAAGCTGAAGTCTTTACCTACTTGGCCTAGTGTTAAATTGTTGACAGGTCATTGTAAAATCCCTAAGGCAGCAGCCAAATATCAAATTGGTTAATTAACAACAAAGTATGTCAAATATTGTTACAATCTATAGCAGGTTGTCAGAATGGCAAATTCTTCTCTTCCTTAGCATACATATTCAGATTCCACTTTTGTCTTCATGTCCTTTAAAAATAAATATTTACAAGCCACTAAATATATTTAAAATGTTCTATCTTTGTTGAACCCTTGGAAACTGTTGCTGTTAAGCTTTTCTCATAAGTGTTTACCAAAAGAAGCAAGAAAAGAATGTTCTCTCTTCTAATAGTCATGACTACACTCACTGGAATTTCTTGAATGTGGCTTCACTTACCTGGTTCCCTCCCCAGCCGTGAATATGGTTCCCTGGAGACAAGGTAAAGGCTGACCAGAAACACATTCCTATCTGTGATCCGTGGCAGTGTTATTTTTTGGTGCCTGTTCAGTTCGATTCAACTAATATTTATGATCTAGACTCTGTGCTAGGTGATAGTAACATAGAGATGATTCATGTATACCTTCTGTGTTCTGTGAGTTCAACATCTAAACAATGAAATGCCATTTGTGTGATAGGGGTATAATAGAGGCAGAGAACAGTGGAGAGAGTGGCTGGCTCCATCAGTGGTGGGTGCGAGGTCAGTGAAGATTTCACCCAGGCAGTATGATAAAATGACAGAATTTGAACTCCATCAATTGGAAATGTAAAAGTTAAGGTGCATTTTAACCAGTATTAAAAGGCTCGGAATGGGATGGATAGAGAAACCTTAAACTAGAGAATTTTAATAGGCAGCTAATTCTTATTAGCAGCTAATGCCACAATCATGAGGAATTGGGAGAGGAAAGGGCACTCAAAAAGAAATGGATAAAGTGCACTGTCCTTTCGGTGGTTTATAATTAAAGAATTTCTAACATGGCAAGACATAGCTCTGTAGAGCCAACCTTAGTTTCTGGGGCAGCTAGATGCCTTGAAAGTCAACATTTTAAAGATGAGTAAGAAGCTGGTGTGTGTGTGTCTTTGAGGAAACAGCATTCCTGTCTTGTTCTCTGACCTAGACCAGTGCTATTGTATCTAGTGCCTTTGTTCTCAGGTGCATTCTCATCACCTTGCTTATAGAAGGTCCTCAATAAATTATGATAATGAAAGCTATCATCTCTTGAGCTCAGATTTCATTGTGTCAGGTTTGCCCTCTCATGGATATTAACAAATCTGGCTAAGTAAAAAATCTTGAACTAGGAATGTCATAGAAAACTTATATTCCTAGAACTTATATTCAACATGCAAGTACACACTCTCTTTGGGCAACTTCGTTCTCATCATGGTTTTAACTACAATATGTATGTAGATGACCTTCAAATGCTTACATCCCAAGCAAAACTATTATAGGAACACAACTTATGAGCTCTATTTTTTTTTTGAGATTTATGGAACATCCAAATGATGAAAATAAATTAATTCCAATGACTATGGTAACACACATTATGTAAGCTTTGCAGGGAGAATTTTGTAGAAAATTTTTAGCAATATTTTGCTATATATTTTGTTATACAGCATTCACTGAGTTTTTGTTTAGGACACAGAAATTAGAACCGTAAGTCACAAATATTTTAGTATTCTACCAATAGCAGTTTCTCCTCTCTCTTCTCTCTCTCTCTCTCTGTACGTGTATGTAACTAGACATATAAAAAAATGTTAAATGACCTAAGTCATGTTAGAAACCTTGCAAATCTTGCAATGAAGCACAAACATGACATGATGCAGGCATAAAAGGCGTGTTTTACTATGACACTGACCTTACAAAACAAAATAGTTCATTTTGAATGACAAAAGCAGATGAAAATATGTTTAAAGCAGGTCCATTGAGCACTTTAGGCTAACATCAATCTATTTACCAACTACCCCTTCTTATAACTGTTTCTCATAGACAGCATCATAGAACTAATAACATAACCTGGAATCCAAATTTAGTAAGGCTATAAATAGCTAATTATTCCAAATTATGAGCTTACAGGGTTATTTGCTCTTTCTAAGGAACCTGTCTTCTAAAAAGCAAAGTTCACAAAGTAGAAAAGTATACATTAATGGAGAGAAAAAGAAAAAAAAAACAGAAAAAGATAGGAGTTGAGAGGTTAAGTTACTTGTCGAGGAACCCACAAGTGGAGAATAATCAAAGCAATATTTAATCCCAGGTCTGCCCATTGAGTATGGGAAGGTGGAAGAAAGCAAGGATACTTTGCAAGTTGGATAGCTTGATATCCCAGGCGGGTAGCAGCCTTAGTTTGGATTATTCCCTTCCTATGCCCTTTTCTTAAAAAACAGGAAACATCAAGCAAGAGAGCTAATTTGTGTTTCTCAATTTTTTCTTGTCCAATGTCTGACACAGGTACTGCTGGAAAGGAAATAGCTTTAAAATGCAGTTTTATAAAATATCAAATAAAGTTATGACAAGAAAACTGATGATCCACAAGCCAAAACATGAGTTCCTGATATGCTATGACCTTTATTGAAAACGTGTTACTTGTTAACATGGTATTTGCCCAAGTGTGTTGGGGAGGACACTGGTTCTAAAGATGGTGTGCATGCACAATACACACACACACCGTTTCATCATCAAAAGAGTAAAAGAGTTTGAGAAACACTTTTGATTATAGCTTCTCCCACACTCCACTTGGTGGTTCACTAACATTGGAACTTGAGTTTTTAAATTTTTAACCCAAGGGTTTTCCAAACTTATTTGACCATGGACCTTTTCACAGCATACATACAATTTTGTTTTTTTGTTTTGTTTTCAAAAACTCTGTTAAATATTATGGAACTCTTGTGGAGCACCTTAGAAAGCATAGTTACAGCTTCATATGATCACATATCTGGCTGATTTGAGGGCTATATAAAGGTCCCTTCTGACCCCTTTTGTAATACCTAAAATCTCAACAGCTCTTAGAGGCTGTTAAACTTTTGAGGCCTTTATTAACAAACAAATATTCCAAGAATTAAATATTTAAAGCCAAGAGATACCAACTAGGTAGTGCAGCCAACTGATCGATGGGAATCCCACCTAGACCAATAGGCACCTTGTTGCTGTCCATTTCAAATAGAGAGAAAGGGGTGAGCCTACACTCTGCTGCTATTAGTATATCCAGTCAGTTTCTCCACACTGTTGATTCTTCATCATCAATATTTTCCAATGTATCATTTCCACTACTACCAGCCTAGCCTAGATTTTTGTCACTCCAAGCCACTCTCTTCTAAGCCCTCGTTTTATCATCTAACATGCACATACCCACCAGATAGATCTTCCCAAATACATTTATCCTCTGCTGAAGAATCTAGAATGGTTCTCCATTGCCCATCAAGTCACTGTCTTCAGCCCAGCATTCAATACCCTCCAAAAACCATATCCATCTAATGTTATTTTTTGTTTGTTTGTTTGTTTGTTTTCAAGACAGAGTCTCACTCTGTCTCCCAGGCTGGAGTGCAGTGGTATGATCTCAGCTCACTGCATTCTCCACCTCCCAGGTTCAAGCAATTCTCCTGCATCAGCCCCCCAAGTAGCTAGGACTACAGACACACATTACCACACCTGGCTAATTTTTTGTATTTTTAGTAGAGACAGGGTTTCACCATGTTGGCTAGGCTGGTCTTGAACTCCTGACCTCAAGTGATCTGCCTGCCTTGGCCTCCAAAAGTGCTGGGATTACAGGCATGAGCCACTGTGCTGTCTAGCCTGTAATGTTACTTCTTATTGCTCTCTATTCCCTTCACTGAAGACAGACTCTTCAGTCTTCTCTATGAGTTCCAGGTTCTTCCTCTTCTTTTATTTTCTGTTTATATTCTCCTCTCTTTTTCACTTCTCATCCTACCCTCACTCATCTTTCAAGTTCTACTTCCCCTGAGGCTTTTAGTAACTTCACCGAACATTGATCTCTCTTTCTCTTTCCTGTACCAGTTGAGGGTGTTGTTAAATGTATTTAGCATTTCATTGTATAATTTTATTTTGTTCCCTGTTACAACTGTGTATGTTTTGTACTTCTCTCATCACCCTTGCTTCTAAATATAAACCTCTTAAGAGAGCAAACCTTGTCTTAGTCTTAATTTACATTCCCTACCATATTTATCATGTACTGGAAACATAAGACATGCTTCCTCAATTATTGCCTAGAATGAAAACAAAATGATGATTATAAATGGATATAATGCAGTTACTAAAGCCACATAGGACCTTTCCTTGATAATACTTTATTTGCAATAGTTTTAAGATATTCTCTATAATAATCAGCATAATTACATCTTTATACTATTCTACAATTCCAATCTTTCACCATTTCAGACTACCTTTCCTCAAATGATCTTAAAGGCTTCTTTTCTCTAAGAAGGGATAGAAGTGAAGAGCTAAGCTTGACTTTGAGATTTTGGATTCCCAAAGTCTAGGGGTATGTGTAGCACACAGACTCTAAGGCTGCCCCCAATTATCCCTGCTTTTTGATATCCATGCCTTTGTTTACTCCTGGTCCCTTGAATGTTGACAGGACTGGTGATCTGCCTCTGACCAGTAGACTATGGCACAGGGATGGGATGTCACTTCCATCATTATGTTGCATATAATTGGAACTCTGTCTTCCTTCCTGACTCTTCTTTGTCTTCTCACCTTGCATGCTTTGAGAAAGCAAGTGGCCATTTTGAAGAGACCCACATGGCAAAGAACTGGTGTGGCCTTCAGCCAACAGTAAGCTAGGAGCTGAGGCCCTCAGTCCCATAGCCCTGCAGACATGGAGTTCTGCCAACAAACAAATGAACTTGGAAGCAGATCCTTCTCCTGTTGAGCCTTCAGATGAGACCCAGCCCTGACTGACCACCTGGATGGCAGCCCTGTGAGAGATCCTGAAGCAGAGGACCTAGCAAAGCCAGCAAACCTTCTGACCCAAAGAAACAGTGAGATGATGTTTGTTGTCTCCAGCCACTAAATTGTAGTTATTTGTTACACAGCAATGGATAATAAACACAGGATGTTAAAGAAGTATTTTTATGAGACTTTCAATAGCTGACATTAAGATGTAACTGTCAAAAGAATTAACTTTGTAATTCAAATGTTCATTGTGGGCTCTCACTCACCATGGAAGCTCATGCAATAAGGCCGGAGAAATTAAAAATGTCTTATGTGACATCTGGTAGAAGTTTAAAAGTATAGACAGCCATCATTAAAAAACTCATTATAACTTTATTTAAAACCTTGGTCCCAGTATTCAAAGATCAAAATCTAAAATAGGCTTGGAATTTGGTCACTTCTTAAGGTCTATGTCAGATATCTCTGTCAAAGCCCACATATTTTAAGAGTTGCTAAAGCTACATACAACACTATGGTGAGCATTTCATGCCTAAGTATGAGAATTGTATTTGATGAATATTAATTGATAAAATCTATTAGCTAGATACTTAATAGGAGAGAAGACTGAAGGGATTGAGAAACCAGTGAATAGAGATTGCTAATTAAGAAAAAAAATCTGACTCTTTTACAGGTTTACATCTTGTATTACTACCTAATTGGCCTACTGTTTTGTTTTGTTTTTATTTGGCAGTTGAAAGAGCCTGTAAACACTTTAAATCTCTTAAGAATTTGTGATTCATTTGGTGAAACAGTAGCTGCTAGACTTCTGGATTTTAAGAACTAGGAAAAATGAAAATTCAAAAACAAAAATAGGTAGTTGAATGAATAGGTGATTGAATATACTGCCACAGACAGTAAACTTTGTTTTGTCAAGTTAGGACATTAAAACAAACAAACAAAAATCACTGTATGCTATAATCATTATTTTATAGAGAAAGAATAATTCAACCTCAACAGAAAAA